ATTTCATAGTATTTTTGCAGCCACCATATAAAAGTGTTAATACAAATCGAAGAATGTATCAAATGTTGTGATTGTAATAAAATTAATAATTATAGTAATAATAATAATAATGATCACAATAATAACAATAATAATTGTAATAATAAGCATAACATTTTTAATAATATTGATAATAATAACCAGGCTTAGATTATACAGTACAAAAACACTATTTTAATGCTGACGTTCAATTTTTATGAGCTATTATTTTATTAACTTAATTAATTTGTAGGTAGATAAATCACGTATGCTGTGGAACGTAGAACAAATGCAATCAAACAGTCGCCTATCAAATTTTGTCGATAAAGCTATGAAATTGTTTGATGTAAAACAAGTTATGAACGAGGTTGAAACATCAGTAATGTCAAAAGTTTCATGTACTGCATGCAAGGTTGGTGCTGGCTTATTACAACACTTTATTAAGACTGGAAAAAGTGAAGAAGCTATTGTAAACAGCATATTTCAATTTTGCGTATCATTGAAGATTCAAAGTCAAAGAGTCTGCCATGGTTTAACGTTGCTCATGGGGGTGAGTTTTTTATGAAATATAGTTTAAAGCTATGATTTATGTTTTTAATTTTATATTATATCATTAATCCTTAGCCATTAATTTTAAGAAATAATTAAAATAGTACAGAGTAATAACCACTATTATATTGAAAATTTAAGTCTTTGTAAGTGTCCAAATTTATGACTTTGAACGAACTAAGTTTTATTTAATGGTTAGGGACTACTGTTATTTTATATAATAAGGATATAAAAAAGTAAATGTGTCTCTGCCAAGAACTTAAATCTTACTATGTCAGTTTTTTTTACAACTAAGAAAGTGTCACGTTAACTAGGAGTCGAGATCTTTTCTATTTTTACTTTTATTAAGAATGCTGTTAAAAAAACAATTCAATAGCTCTAAATAAAAGCATTTATTTAAAAATGCTTTATTCGTCAACGTTGCTTATTTATCTTAAAAATAAAAGATAAACAGTGGGCAGTCATGGGACTACTGACAGAAGTGAAAAATTAGGACTATGAATTATATTTTTACTTACGTTCTGAAATGAATTAGTAGCTCTCCAAATTATTGACTGTTTTTGAAGTAAGTAATTTTAAATTAGGGCATTTTTTTTAATTATGTGAGTCGTAAGAATGCATATCATAACTTGCATATCTCTTGATTACGTATATTTTGAATAATCAATTATAAAGTTTATTACACGATGATAAAGGTATTCCTTAAGTTGGAAATTTTGAAAACTATGCGATTCGTCATAGAAATATTCGTTTCAAATTTTACTGTAACAGATACTGAGGAGTGAGAAAAAATTAACTGAAGAGCTTATACAGTTTACGTCCAATGTAAGCTTATTATCATTCACTATGCAGTGGCTGCCGTTAGACAAGGAGAGAGCGAAAGAATTCTTAGGCCATAGCGTACCCAAACTACCATACCCTGCTGCACTCCACTGCGCCTCCAAGCTGCTCTCTCCTTCTCTACCGCCAACCAATACAGAGCGGGCTTCTTCTCTCCTCTCCTCTCCACCAACATTTCATTCTCTTGTTCTTACACACGACTCCCTGCAGGGATCGCCTTGCTTTTAACTGAGAGCAATCTGACGCGAAACCAAGAGTTTTTTCCCATCCAAAATCATCTTACGCACCTAAAGAAGTCTTCACTTTAAAAAATTGGTATTATCTAAATGCTTCATAGTTTCCAGTTTTTTTTGCTTCCTACACAGCATGGGCACATCAAGCAATCCCTTATTTGAATTACACCCAGATGAATTTCCTGATATTATTGAGTTTGAATTAGAATAAACAAACATGCATCAGAAGTTTCCAATGAAGAGCTTTTGAAACTACTTTATTTCTGTGCACAAGATCTAAAAAAAATGCATTCATTTAAAATATTTATAGATCGTTTATTTAAAGTAAGCAAAATGAAACGGTGACTGATACAACCCAAGCCAGTTTAGTTTTTTAAATAAAATTTAAAAAACCAGTAGATAGTAGGGGCTTAGGTATAAAGTCCTACTTTCATCAATTTATATGGCAAACAATACTATTATAAAAATAAATAAACCTCAAATTATAACGATTATAAATAATACGTTACGGCACTTTACGGTATAAACAATATATAGGCTGGTCAGTGGGAGATTGTACACTGTGGTCGAATCATCCAATAATTTAAGTTAACTTTGTGCATCCTACACTGATTTCATATTTAACGTCACGGTCACATCTCTTACACACACTAACACACTTGGTCCTAGTCCAATTTCAATACTCAAAGTATAATGTGTCAAAAAGGTTAACAAAAACCATCCTGTTGTACCGCTTGGATACCATGATAGGAAAGTATTACGTGCCAGTAAGTGTCCCTTAAAGACGTTTATCACACATAGGTTGTTTTAACCAGAGATAAGTAGAGAAGTTGCTAACGCTAATAATACGATGCAAGACGACTGTTTGGCACTGATCAGGGCAATTCACCACACAGTGTGCAAAATGGCCTTTTTTTACCATAAATAAGATATCTCAAGATAAAACCATGGTAATGTGTTGATTTTTTTCATTCTGCAGCTAAGACCCTGTAAATTATAGTAAAAATAATTTCAACATAGGCTTTGGTAGCATAAAGTAATTAAATATTTCAAAACTTACAGCTTGTTTGATAAAAGCTGCATAATTTTCTATTCTTTTAATAAAATTGTATAAAAATGAGTGTAAGCACTTGTCGGATAATGCATACCATTATTTGATGCTCTAAACGTCAGAAAACAAGATAGTGCATCTAACATAGCAACCAAATTATTAAAAACATCAAATTGTTTTATTAAAAAAAATACCATTGCACTTCACACTCAATTTTAGATAGAAAGTGTGTTTGAGAGATTTCAATAGAAATCGTTGTTTTCGAGAAAAAATTTTAAATGTCTCATTATTATTGTCAACTTGAGAAAATGCACGTTTTTTTGTGTGTAAAGGAAGAATCTATCATAAAAATAAAGTTCCTATAGACTTTTAGTTTTTCTGGGCTATTAATTACGAACGTGCAATCAGATCTTTAAAAATTAACAACAGCGATTCTAATATGGTGCCCAACTTTTAAAAAAGTCACTTTATTTCCAATTTTAAAAAAATGATTCCATTAAACACTAAATTTTAAGTGAAAAATATGTCTTTCTTAATATCGATGAAGACTATTGTTCTTCAGAAAAGAATTATGAATGTATACACGTATTTGTTTACCTGAAAACATTGTATTCATTCTCCTTTGAGTGAAAAAGATTGCCATATTAATTAGGTTTATAAAAACATTTCGTATTTCTTGACTGTTCGTTACAAAGCTACATAAATAATTGTGAAAATTCAAAACAGCTATAATAAGCGGGTAGCCACATTTTCAAAAGGTAATTAAATATGAAACGTAAAAAATAATATGTATTTTATAACTTATTTTTATTAAAAAATGTCTGTCTCATGTTATTGTTCAAAAAATTTTTTCCGAAAAAAAATGTATATTTTTCCAAACTTGACAAATCTTTTAACACCCACGTCATTCTAAGAGCAAGAAATTACTTAAAAAAGATTTCTTTATTATACTGATACTAAAAGTGTATTAGTTGTTGAAGATATAAAAAATTATAGCATACTTTGTAGAGATAGAACGATCATTCTTAATAGTAAAGAACGGTGCATAACATGAAACATGCAAATTTCTTGTCGTAACATGGTATATTAAAATTAGTTTGTTGAAAAGACAGGGCATACTTGTGCTTTGATTTCTACAAGACTTTATTACTATTTATGTATGATAAATATGATAAGCTATAGGAATACTTGTGATTAGTTAAAACAGTATCTAACTTGAACATATTACAAAACTACATACTAAAATCTGTACACACAAAGATAGACATTTTGGTTTTTACATCATCAAACAAAAGTTTTCGTTTAGTTACGTATAGTATTGACTATACATTTACAGATTACGACGAATGCAGATAAATAGCTAGAATTTACTGTTATGCTTAAATTTAATGTTATTTCTGCTTACGATTTGACTACGTATGACATGAAAAACCTTTTTCAACAGAATTTAAAAGCGATCCTTAGTTATAAATATAAGTAGATAAAGGCCTTTGAAAACCATTGGATATAGAATCAATCATCTGTCAAATAGTACTCCATTTATGTAATGCCATTATTTTTTTGAAGCAGATTTTCTTATCTCATCTGAAATGTGTTTGAAGCGCAGTAATAGAAAATTAAATAACAAATAGCTCTAAGCTTTAATACGAACGGAATCGGTAACTAAATAGAAAAGTGGTTATTATGCTTTACAACAAGAAAAATGTATAGCATCTATTTCAATAGATTAGGTATCACCTACAATCAGGTATAATATAAAAAATATTTGATATGCCTATCATAAGTTTGTGCATTAAAATCTACAGGTTTTCATCTAGATTTTTATTGATATTACTATTATTGATCATAGTCGTTATCATGGTCACTATTACTTTTTCCATAGTCACTATTGTCATTACACTCATCATAACTGCCTTAATCTATAGTATTTTGAACAAAGCCAGTATTATCATTATAGTCAATGTCATTTTTATGATTATCGTCATCTTCATCATATTTTTCATTCTTAATGCAATCGTTCCTTGTTTGCCCTTTAACTTTGTTTTTGTTCTTTAAGGTCTCTTCTTCAGCCAAAATGTCACAATGACGTCTGAAAACGTATTCATGTACAATTTACTTAAATTTTTATTGTTTCAACTTCCTGTTATATTGATTGACGGTAACTATAAATGATACTTACGTAGCTAATGTGTATTTCTGCATAACTTGTGATGAAACAGCTACTTCTTGCTTCTTTAGACGTTTACATATATATATATATATATATATA